TTCTCAGAATGAATTCTGCTGTATTCTACAGATACTGTCCAAAATGCTTGAGTATGCTGTGTATTAGAGAATTACAATGTTGAGTGTTGTAGCTATAGTGATCTAAACAAGGTATGGTAGGTAAGAAAAGGGTGTTTTAAATAGTTAAATAATATATGATAATGCATCGTTGTCATGGTTATACAGAGAACTGTTCTATTCTTTGAAGTCCTACTTCAACATAAAAGTACCTGATAAATGAAAGAGGAGATTCAGAGTAGAAATTTACCATCCTGGTTAGAATCATAGAATAGTTTGGGTTGGAAGGGACATTTATCAGACATCTAGTCCAATCTCCCTATAGTGAGCAGGGACATCTTCAACTAGATCAGGTTGCTCAGAGCCCCATCCCATTTGACCTTGAACGTGACTCTACAGAAATGTTTTGTTTCAGCTTTGGAGTGGTCCAGCTCCTAGTGGTGTGACCATGTCCGGAAGGGGCAGAATAGATGTTGCAGTAGTTGCTGGAGCCAAGATTTTACCTTTACTGGATATGGCGGAGCTAGGGCTCAAGAAGCTTATTTCAATGAGTTCTGGCTTAGATTTGTTTTGCAGTTTTTGGTTATAGTGAAGACTGTGCTTAAAGCTTGGTTGCTACCAACTGATTTTTTGTTTGAGTGAATTGGCTTATTAGGAACTCAACATCTACTTGTGGCTCTTGAAGGATGTGAGTGTTTGATACTGAAGTTTTTAATGATTCAAGAAAACAATTAAGCTTTCTTCTGTGTGAGCTACATTTATCTTTAAAGCCATAATATTTTCATTTCTTGTCCTTAGTGGTCAGGCAAGGTGTTTTACAAATTATTACTTATGAAATTTGTTTCATTTATTATTTGAAAGCATTATGTTACATTCTTGACCTGAATGCTTTTATTACTGGAAGGTCCCTCAGTGGACTGTACTGCTCTGGGCAGGGACATCTTTGCACTGTGACTGCTCAGTCAGGAAACAAGTACACTAAGGCCGGGAGGCTGAGCCAAGGAGAGACGTGGGACATGAACTAAAGCTCTGCTGAGCATCTTGGTCAGAATTTTCAGCTTAACCCAGAAGATATTAATTAAGACTTTGGCTTTCTTTTTGTCCTCAAAGACATTGAAAGTGAGAAAACAGATAGTGAGGGGAAATTTCACCTTTGTAAATTCATGATCTGGATGTTTATTATTTGTCACAGAGACACAACTGTTCCAAAAAAGTAGCAGTCAGAGCTCAGTCTACATTACCACAGTGTTGATATGTCCACCAAATCACTGGATATAGCCTGCCCCAATACTAGCATTGCAAAAGTTTGACTTAAATAAGTCTTGACTTATTTGGACTTACTATGATGTTTCTCTTGAAATACTCTTTGTGCTAGATTATGACTAAAATGTCTACTTCAGGAATTATATTTTAAAGACAATCTCAATATGCATGGAGGTTTAAAAAAAAAAGTTAAAACTTGATTCTTTCAAATCAGAGGAGATTTCTCTGTGTTAATTCTAAATAATTTGATTAATGTTAATATTAAAATTTTATTATTGGTCAAAATGTAATTTTTAAACCACAGAATCCAGGGTTTAGATGGATGTGTAAAATATATGAGTTTTTATTTCGAGTACATGGTTTTTCTCAATTTAAAGAAAACTTCAATCCTTAAATGAAAGAATAACTTTTGTTTACTGAGTTTAATATGAGACAGTTTTAAATGAAGTGTTATAACCTCTGACAATAGGGATCCCTGGCAGAAGTGTCCACGCCTCTCTGCTTGTAATGACAAATGATGCTGCATGTAGAGTGCATGCCTGTTTTCTGTTAAATAATTTGCACTAAAAATTATCCACTGTTTTGAGTCATTTTGTCATACTTGACCTCTGTGCCAACGAAATGACCCACGTCTTTAACAGGTGGTACCTTGGTCAGCCTTTGCAATACAGCTTTCTGTATCTTGAAAAGGTTAATTCTTCAACTAGATTATGGGCAAGGTAACCTGCAGATATGGGAGACTCCTAGTGACAGGTGGAGTTGTGAGAATGACAAGTTATAAAATATCATTGTGTAACATGATTCTTGCTACTTTGATCTCTTCTGTTCTGCTTGAAGTAGTGACGTTTCGTTTGATTCTTGCAGTGTTTTAGCGTTTGTCAGTTGAGCTGATGATGAAGATGTTCCTAGGGACAAATGGCAAGCTTGCAAATGGAAGGATGCTTCTTCTCAGTGCAGGAGTGTGTTCTCAGCTACAGTTTGAACTTCCTTTGAATTTCCTCTAAAACATGTTGTGAGATTTAGACAAAATGGTGTAGTTTGAGAAGGGCATGTTTTTAAAAGGATCATGGTGTGTATCCTTAACACTGTCCTCTTTTAGTACTCTTTTTCAGTAAAGACAACCCACTTTGGCTGTTTGAATATTGAATTTCTTTCACATTTAAAAATGTACATAGAAGAGCCTGTATAGTTCTTTATAGTAGTACATCCTGAACAAGCTTTTTGGTTTTAAATGAACAGAAATTTCAGTGTAGCTTTTTTTATTTTGGTTTAATTCTTGCAGAGGAAATGATTTATGATGATGTTGAAAATGGTGATGATGGTGGAAACAGCTCACTGGAATATGGGTGGAGTTCAAGTGAGTTTGAAAGCTATGAAGAACAGAGTGATTCTGAGTGTAAAAATGGAATTCCCAGCTCCTTTTTGCGAGGCAACCACAAGAGGCATGTATGTATCCTGGAGTGCTGCTCTGTCATTGAGGTTATCCTGATTTTCAACACTTGTCTTTCTCACCTGAATTTCCCTTTTCAATCCAGTTTCAAATGCCAACAGCTTCTTTTTAAAGGAGACGTGAATCAGTGTGACCGTCCACAATGAAATATAACAGGGAAAAGAAAAGATGAAAATATTAAACAGAAGCTTCTTAAAAAATGAAAAAACTCAAATGGATAAAAGTTAAATTAAAAATGACATTATTTTTGCTTGTGGGCAGTTCCTCACCTTTTCTTCTTTTGCAGCTGCTGGATTAGTGTAAGTGGTAAATGAGTGGAAAATAATGTGAAGAACAAATGGGGGTAAGCCTGACAAGACTCGAAGTTTTGGGATCCTTCAGGCGCTCAAAAGTCACAAACCTGTTTGCCAGTGTTCCCTACCTTTCTGTCTTAGATCTTTATCACTTTGGTTGTTTGAAGGTGATAGAGCAGAGAAAAAACCCCAAAATAAAAGTTTTT